ATATTTAAGGGCTACTTTATGCAGTTCTAATCAGGAACAGTATAATGTGCAAAGACATTACAACCTATCAGTCTGAGGATCCTTTCATAGAGTACGAATAATGCCTCCCCTGTCAATTCATCAATAGTCACCACACAGCTGGATTCTTCAGCCTTTCCAGAAGGGTTTCGCAGCTTGTCATTTGCAGACCCTGAACATGGGGATTTCTAAAATACATTGAAGAGGCTTATGAAAGGTGACCAAGAAAATCATGTTTAGGTATGTTATCTAGCAACCCACACCTGCAAAATATCTAAAAGAATCTACACTTCCATTGACAAATTTTAAGGGATCCTGAATTGAAAGACAGCAAAGACATAAAACTTTAAACAAAGGGTAACTCTTATAATGAAGAAAAATGAAACAAAACAACCCCCCTCCCCCCCAGAAAAATCCAAAACATATTCTCTTACATGTCAGTTCTCTCCTCCTTCAATCCCAGAATACCTTTCATAGGAGCATATTCATAGATTCATAGAATCACAGAATGTTTGGGTTGGAAGGGACCTTAAAGCTCATCTAGTTCCAACCCTCCTGCCATGGGCATGGATTCATTCCACTAGACCAAGTTGCTCAAAGCCGCATTCAAACAGGTCTTGAATGCTTCCAGGAATGGGACATCCATAACTTCTTGAGGAAACCTGTTCCAGTGCCTCACAATGAAGAATTTTTATGCATATTCAGTGATTATACTTGAGACTGTGGGGAAATCAGCTACACGCATCTGGATCTAACCAGATGGTTTTTTTTTTTTTTTTCTGTTTCTAGAATTTTGGCCATAAATGGACAAACTTGAATGCTTAAGATTTCTAAATGCCAAGATAACCTAGGCATGCCCATACAAACAAACTTCACTACACTTACGCTGGCCCAGGGACACAGGCACACTAGGTCAGGCACCACCTAGATGCACCAGCTGTACTGGATACACACAGAGCAAATGATGCAATGTGGCACCTGCTGACACCTCTGCAAGACACTGGATTTACTGTGCATGGACAGGTTACCTCTGTAGCTCTGTAGTCTTTGACTAGAGCACATATGCCACGCCGTATGTGTGTTGCGCAGGAAAGACTGACAGGAACATCAGAGTTCCGGTTCATAAGACTGAATGTAGCTAATCAATATTGTAGAAAACGAAAGGCATTCAGTTGGAAATCTAATTTAATACTGGGTTTGCCCTACAATATCACTGTTTATTCTAGATACTTTCCATATTAGTTGGATAATGTTGCAGCTAAACAAAGTAACTCAACAGTAAACAACCCTTAGCATGAGTATGAAAATTTTTTAACAGAGCTGTTTAACACACGTATACTACGGTGTGTTACAGCATAACAAACATGCTAAACTTCAACTCAGATGTTATAAGGTAAAAAACCACCTTTTCCTTCTATGAGGAGGGAAAATGACACGGTGAGATTTTTCATTTAATTCTACATGCTTACCACTAAAGATGGCCATTTGATCAAGAGATTATACATCATATACTGGAACTTAGGCTCCAGCCCTTACATACATGTTGAATATGGCTGTACAGCAGCAAGCAGTTACAAAATGTATTTGCTGGGAACTGTGCATAAGTCAAACCAAGTGTTTGGCTCCCTCTGCACTGTCCTTCTTCTGAAGCTGCTGACTGAACTTTTAGTTTATAATAATGTAGTTTATATTTGTTCTGTTTGCAGTTACTGTTTAAGCTAATTGTATCATTCCCCCAGCAGTTCTGTAGTATGAGAGAAACAAAGAATGGATTTTCTAACCTTACAAACTCTAGGGCTGCTCTTCTTTGTGTGAAATAAGCTATCTCGTGACCACTGATGTCTAAAACACCTATGAACACTGGATTAATCTTAAATGCATTGTATTTATGGAAGCTAGTCTCATTCCAGCCTCCAGTCCACTAAAAAATGCAGAAGACTGCAATTGCCAGCACCCCCTCTGCCATCTCTGATTACTGCCCTGAACAGCAAAGGTCAGCACATTGCACATGATAAGCCTGAGAGGTTAGGACATTGCCTGTAGGCTGGAACGAAGGAAGGTTTCAAGCCAATATGAAAGGGATGAGGTAGCATCAGGTGACCTCAGAGCACTTAGCAGAGAAAGCAGTCCCATCAAATTAGAACACAAAAAGGTGTCAAGGGCCTGGGAAAACAGATCTGTGCTTCAGCAAGGTATATGGCCTGCCCTTAGGAGCAGGACTTGATCTCACAACCCTAATAACCCCTGCTGCACACGGTGTATGGAAGACCTGACCTCTCTGGAGTAAGAGCAACGAACCTGTTGGAGCACAACCACTACTCCCCACCCAGCCTGCATGGGGATCACTTTAGGGAAGAGCAGTGCACTCCTTTTTGATCAGACACAGCACCCAGTTCTGCTTCGCACCTACACACTGCCCTGCGCCAACATGGGCACTGACAGTGCTCCACTGCTGTGTGAGCTGTCTCCTTCAAAGGCACTCAGCAAAGCAACTGACCAAAAGTATCTGCAGAGATATTAATACACGGCAGGTCCACCGACAAAAGAGGGAGCTGCAAGCGTGCCTGCATGCTTGTGGCATACTGCCCTATGCTTCTAAGAGAAACCTTGTAGAGGACAGAGAAGTCTACATGGTATAGATGTGACTCCTCCTCTGTAGACCATTACACATCTTTCGTGTGCTGAAGAGCATGTGCCATCACATGGTAAGCAGAGAGAAACAAATATGTCAGAGACAGTGATGGTGATGACTTAACCAAAATGCTGCTGCAGCAGGAAAGCAGTGATGTGCCTGGGTAGAATCAACTTCATGGGCTTTGTATGCAGACAGCTCTCCAAAATCAACTAAAAACAGTATAAAAGTGGATCAAAGTATTTTGCTGCATTCTTACAGCCACTTTTCTGCAGGTCTCCCCTGACTCTTCTGACTTGGCAATGTAGTGGAGAGAAGAGTTTCTGACTTTTGGCTATGAGTGCTGTGTAAACTGTGCAAAGACCAGAGAAACTCCCTGGATTTTTCCCAATCTCTGTTCTGAAGAGCAGCACTGCTTACTTTCCCCTTGCAGCCAGGCCCATCTGTTTGTAGCCTGTAGAATTAAGAGACTGAGACCAAACTATCAGCCCTTTCTCAAATGACTGTCCTGGGTGATAACTCTGGACCCAGCTCTTCTTGGCAAAGCCTATGTCCGCACCCTGGAAACAGACATATGTGGAAGAGGATGTCTGTTGATATTATTTTAGCTCAGGTAAAACACAGGTTGTCTTTCTTCCCACTATGAATAACTATGAATTGGGTACCCAATTCATAAGAAAAAAAAAAAGAGGCTATATAGAGAAGTTTTGGACACTCGGAACAGAAAACTGCTACGGCAGCCTGTCCCCTTGACCTGCTGTGGACAAACTGTCACACCAAGAACTGTATTCCCAGAAGTTTCAAGATAAAAGCAGGCATAGTACAAATACTATGACCCTGAGAAGATGGAGCATTAATGCTCTCCCACTGTGTAGCTCTACTAGAGCTACAAACTGACTGGTGCCACTTCCCCCCTAATGCTCTTCTTGCTACCGCACTGCAGAAGGGGACCAGCTGTGCAGGTGGACCAGACCATGACCTGGAATGCTGATCACTGTCTCTTGTAGGACAGTACTTATCCCACCACACAGCTTCCCACAGAGAAGATCAACATATGTGATGCCCCCGCAGCCCTCGCAGGCTGGAGCCCTGGGAGGAAGCACTTTTGGCCAATCTCCTCACTTTTGGTCCAATTCATCCTCTCCAATGGAGGGGATGAAAGGATGTCAGGGGCTGCCAGTCTGCAAGCAGCAGAAGCCCGGGCTTGGACGTGCAGGGGCAGCAGCCTCAACAAGATTCCAGCATGGAAACACAAGCAAGAAAAAGAAAGAAGATTCAAGAGGAAAGGACACAGATGCGTGTGCAGAAAGGAAGATGGGTATTGGGGAGGGGATAAAAGAGGAGTCATGGCACACAATTCCCTGTTCAGTGCCTCCATGCTGTGTTAGCCTGGCTATCCCAGAGGGAAGAGAACAGGGCTGTCCATGGCTGGAGCTGGGGCAGGCGCAGGGGAAGGACATGCCTCCAGATAAGGAGATAAAAATGAGTCCCAGTTACCGAACACTGTCTGCATCCTGCAATGACCTAAACAGAGAGAGCTGAGCAAGGGCAAGGGAGCAACCTCCAAGCTATGCCTGGCCTTTACTAAGTGAACATCTTCACGATTCATGTGAGTATTTTACCACTTCTGAGTCAGATTAACTTTCACTTTAAAAAGCCACCAGAGTTAGCATACACTCACATACCACTGTGAAAAAACTGTATCTGCTATTGTAGGAGACCTATTATTAGCAAGGTATTATTATTATCTGTCATTTGGATTGTAAGCTGTCTTACTGTGAGCCAGTTCATGTGGATTGCTCTGCATCAAGTTCCTAACCCTGCCACTGCTACTCTTCTGTAAATTTCCATGTGGACACACTAATTTTGGGATCAGGATCCAAGGAGGATTTAATGAAACGCAGCAGCACTTCGGGATGTGTACGGCGCCTCCCACCATGGAGCCCAATCTTCATCAGGACTTGCGCCCACTACAGGCAGTGAATAATTTCATTGGCAGGTTTGAAGCATCGGGGAAGGAGTTTCAGTGCCTGCACTGCGATCTGCATGCACCTGATCCTCCTCTCAGCTCCTCCGCACTCAGCTAACTTTACCTTCTCTCCAGGTTTTTCAACCAAAGTAATCTTATGACTGTCAGGAAGATAGTCCTGGTGGTGGGACAATTGCCAATCCTGATCATTGAAGGATGACTTGGTTTAGAGCTGCTGGAGCCAGACCAGAGCCAGTGACACTGCCTGGGGAAGAAATGGAGGCAGAAAACATGGGGGGGCTCCTTTCCTCACTCTGATGCCTGAATAAAGGGGAGCAGTTTTAGCAAGACAGAGTGGCTACAAAGGGAAATGTTTCTTACAGTCACTGCGCACAGCATAGGGAGGCAGCAGGCTGATGGGGGAGAGATCGTCTTCAGGCCCCTCTACCACTGAAGGGGGCCCCTTGAGAGGCGTCTTACCAGTGGGCAGGGGCGAGGTGGAGACCGTGTTGAGCAGCACCACACAGACAGCCACAACATCCCATAACTTCATCTTAGATCTCCTTCCAACACGGGCCCCTGGCAGAAAAGAGGGGCAGGGTTAATCCTCAACTGCTGTGCTCCCAAGTCCTGCTCCCTGCCTGCCAGTCCCAGGACAAAGCTGGGCAGCCTTGCACCCCAGATCAGCCAGATCCACCCTGGCCAGCCTCCCACCTCATTGCCTTCCAGAGCAAGGGAGGTGAGAGGTGTGGGAGAGGAAGGCCAGGGTAGCTTCCATCTCCTCCACACCCAGGCTAGCTGCTCTGGGGGATGCGGGCAGGCAGGCCGCGGCAGCCTGTGCCCAGGGACGTGGGGGTGTAACCATGTCCCTGTGCTAGCAGCCAGGTCACCTTGTGCTTGACTCCTCCAGCACCCGGGCAGGGCCAGGGTGGACCGGGCTGATCAGGGGTGCAGACCTGCACAGATTTGTTGTGCTACAGGCAAACCTGCCTTTCCTTTTCCCTCTCTTCTTCCTCCTCTCCCTTTCCTTTTTTCTTCTTTTTTTTTTTTCTCTTTCCTTTTCCCTTTTGTCATTTATTTTTAGCTCTTTCCCCTTTCCCATCCCCTTCCCAGTTCTTTTTCCTTTCCTATTTTTTTTATTTTTCTCTCATTTCCTTTTTCCTCTTTCATCCTCATTTGTCACCCTTTTTCCCCTACCTTCTTCCCTTTTCCCTTCCTTTCCCCTTTCCCTTTCTTTCCTTTTCCCCTACTCTTCCCATTTCCCTTTCCCCTTGTTCCCTTATTCTTTCAATTTTGTGTTTCCCTTTCCTTTTCCTCTTTGTTTCCATCTCCATTTCCTTTCATTTCCCTCTCCTTTCCCTTTCCACCTCGAGTCCCTCTTTCTTGTTTCCCCCTCCTCTTCGTTTCCTTCTTCCCTACTTTTCTTTCTTTCTCCGTTCCTCTATTTTCCCTTTTCCTTTCTCCTTCTCTCTCCCCCCTTCTTCTTCCATTTCTCTCATTTCCTCGCCCCGCGGTCGCCCCGCCCGCAGTCCGCCACCCGATGCCCCCCACCGGGGATGGCAGCTGGCCCCAGCCCGGTTCAGCCCGGCCCGGTTCAGTCCAGCCCTGCCGGTGTTACGGAGCAGTGTCCGGGTCCCGGGCAACGCTCGGAGCGCAGCTGCCGCCCGGGTCCCCGCCGGTCTCTGTCCTCGCACCTCGGCGCGCCCGGGGGTGCCCTGTGCCCCGGTGGGTGCCCAGTGCCCCAGCCCGCCCGCCCCTCCGCGGCCCCCTCCTCGCCCTCACCTCTGAGCTGGTCTCGTCGGACCCGAGATGGACATTAACGCCGGGGAGCCAAGCGACCGGACGGGTGGTGCATGTGGGCCAGGTCGGGGGCCGAGCGCCGGGACCCTCTTTGTGCGGAGGGTTTGGGGGTGGTGGGGGGTGTCAGTATGGAGGAGGAGGGCAAGGTCGCAAATGTGGATGGGGGAAAAGGGCAGCCGCCAGCACAAGCCCCGCGCCCTCCCCGCCGCCGCAGGTGCTGTGGCCACGGCAGGAGCGGCTCCGCGCCGATCTCTGCCCGCTCCGGCCCCAGAACCGCGCTCAGCAGCGGCGGGAGCGGCCCGAGCCGCGGGGAGCGCCGCCTGGCAGCGGGATCTGGCTGTGGGTGCTGCTCCTGGGACCCTGCCTGGAAATCTGAGAAAGACACTCCATCAACAACTGCGGGGAGTCAGATGAAGACATCAGGGCTCCTGTAACGCCAGCTGGTCCAGCACCGCGGGGAGCCGCACACCGCTCGGACACGCACGCAACGGCGGGAAGGAGAAAAAAAAGAGGGAAAAAAATACCCCCAAAGAGAACACAAAAAAACCCCACAAATCACGAAAAACCCCACCTCATCTAAGGAGGGGAAAAAAATATCTAACCACCCCCCACAGTCTGGTGGGAGAATCAGAGGCCGGCGCTGGGATTTGTAGAGCTCGTAGCAGCAGCAGCGGCGGCGACGGCGAGGCTTCCTTCTCCGAATAAGGGGTCCCGTCGCAGCGAAAGCTTAGATCCAAGTGGGAAGCGCGGCGGGACGCCGGGCCGGTGCCGGGGAGCGCCTGCTCGGCTGCTCCGGCCAGGCTCCCCGGGCGCCGGCGGGTTCGGTGGTGGGGAGCGGGGCTGGGCGAGGCGCGGGGGACACCGGTCCCGCGGGCGGAGGGGAGCGCGGACCCGGACGCACGGGCGCGGGGGCTTTGCCAGGGCGACTCGGCGCTGCAGATGGATTTATAGGGCCCTTTGGCAGTGACGCTCCCTCCGCTGATTCGCTTTCAGACCCAAACACACGCTGGCCCCCCGCACCGGACCCCGCGGAGCCTCCAAATATCTCCCGGCTGAAGTCACCGGCCCGACATACCGTGAGCTGCGCGTCCGCCGGCGCAGCCCCGCGGCACCCGCTGGCCCCGCGGCGGCGGCGGGGCAGGGCCGGGGTAACCCAACACCCCTCCCTCCCCACCGCCGCTCCGCCGCTCACGGACGGGCGGACAGGCTGACCGACGGGCGGACGGCGGAGGGGAGGCCTCCGGTCGCCCCTGCCCCTGGCCTCTCGCCGGCCGCAGGTGCCGCCGCGGATCCCCTCCGCGCACCACGACCCCTGCGCGGGGGGCGGCGATTTGACCCGGCGGAGGCTGCTGTGAAGCCGCTGTAAACAGTCTCGGCTTTCAGCCCTGCGCCGTGTATTTATGACTCACCCAGTTGTCCGGAGGTATGAGGTCCTCATGTCGCCGGTGCTATGAAATTAACGCGGCGCAGACCGGGCCGTGCGCCGATGCTGCCTTTTAAAAAATTATTTATTTATTTTATAATACATATTTTGCTTTTGGGTGTTTCTTGGGAGTTTGGCGCTGAGGTCTGGGATGAAGCAGGGAGACACGCAGGAGAGCAGCTCGCTGCGGAGAGCGCCGCGCCGGTACAGCGCCGAGCTGCGGGAACTGAGGGAGCGGCGCCGTGCACAGCCGGTCCGGCGGCAGAGCTGACCCAAAAGTCGTAACCTGGCTGGGGGTTTGTTTCCATACTCCCCCCCCCCCCCCCCCGCCCGGTGTGTGTATGTGTGTGATTATGGCAGTGCACTCACACGTCCCTCTCTCCCGGGAAACGCGAGCAGCTCCCTCAGCTCGTGGTGACCGCCGTGGGGGCTGCTGCCTGCTGTGGGGTCTGGCAGGCGGGCAGGGGGGGGCCGCGCCGAGCCTCATTCCTCGCTGGCACAGCCAGCGTCACCCTGGGCTGCTTTTCCATGGGGGCCACTTCGTCTGCTGTATACCCCTTTCCCATTCCCATTCCTTTCTCCCTTTTCATTTTCCTAATTCCCATTCCCTTTTCCCTTTCTCTTTTCTCTTTTCCCCTTTTCCACTCCCTTTTCGTTTTTTTCCATTCTGTTTTCCTTTTCTCCTTTTTCCCCTTTCCTTTTACCTTTTCTCCTTTCACTTTCCCCTTTTCCTTTTCCCTTTCCCCTTTTGCCTTTCTCCTTCCCTTTCCCTCTGTCTCTCGCTATCCCTCTTCCTTTTCCTTCTCATTCTCCCTCTCCGTCTCCTTCTGTTTTCCTTTTCCCATCCTCGCCACTGTCCCATTCCCCTGTGTATGTCCCAGACAGCCTAGGGCCCGCAGGGACAGGGTGCAGGAGGCAGGTGGCACCAGCTCCCTCTGCCTGTCCTGCACAGCCCTTGCTGCCCTCTTTGCAGACCTTGGCTAGGAAGTAGGATGAGGACCTCAGGCGTGGATTTGAGTACCAGATATGTGCACATCAACGTTTGTTAACTCTTCTTCATCAGTGTGAAACATGCAGAATCCTCTAAGCACCCAGTTCCAGAGGAGATCTCAGGCCAGGGGCTGTAGAGAGGATCACAATCATCTCACTGGGTGTAATGGGAGTGAGGTTCAATCCCTGACCACAGTCAGGGTAGTGAAGGTTTTTAAGATGTATTTATTGGAATGCTAAAGTAATCTGAACAGGCTGCAAGAACAAATGTTTCTGCAGGAGGCATCTTCTAAATTTTGATTGGATGACAAGATGGAGTGATGAACATGTACTTCCTTGTGAAGCCCGTTGGACAGCATGGCTTTTCCATCGCCACAGTCATCTGCCTGCTGAGGGGAAATTTCATAACTATCTTCTACTAAATGGGGTATTTGTGGTGAAGGGTCAGCCTTCCTTGGTAATGTGTCCCCCTGTCTACAGGAGCCACAGATTTGCGACCCAGAAATAATGTCTACATTTATTTATTTATTTTATAATTTCAGGCTATTTATTTTCCTAACTGTGACATTTGGAGAAAGGCTAAGTTGCACAAAAGATTTATCAGAAGAACAGCAGAGCAAAATACTCCCCCAAAGTTTCTCCCATTACAAATTTGAAACAGCGTTTTACATCAGTAGTTGCTTAAAAGTCATCTTAACTTTTTTTCAGGACAAACAACCCATTGAAAGGCACCTGGAATAAAAGTTTCTGAAGTGCAGCCCCTTTACAGACAGCAACAAATGGGTGGAACAGTGACAGAACAATCTGTTAAAAATGGTATTCATACAATAAAGACATAAGCATCTGATAAATGCATCTGTTTATATATCTGAGCATGCCAGAAGGGGACAGGAGAAGGCATTACAAGAAGCAGTGGTTGGTTTGGCTCAGTGACACCATTCATGTTGTGCTACTTCTGCCATAAAGTTATTTACACATGGTTGTGAGATGCATGATTGATGCAAGCACTGTATGCACCAAGTGCTGTATGCACCAAATACCCTATGCACAAAAAGCCATTCCCGGCTCCCAGCCTGAACAGAGCAAGCAGAAAGGTTAGAGGAATGGATACAGTGTGGAGTCTCTGTTAGAGGGCAGGGACTGAGACGCATTAAAATGAAAAGTCTTGGTTACCCTGTTAATATGCGATGAGATGGAGTCCTAGTATTTTAACTAAAAGACCATTAACTAGATAAAATGAGCTTAATGCAATATTCTTTTGCACGGGTTTTGTCAGTGGAAAGCCACTGATTTTCTTTAAATAACATGGGATGATGAAGCCAAGACAGAGATTATGTATCTGTAATACTTCAGGAGTTTATTTTTCCTTGCTATTAAAAGCCACTGAAAGCCCAGGTTTTAACATATGCGTTATTTAGCTCACATGTACCACAGTGAAATGAAATGTTATGCAGATGTCTTAGCTGCACTAATAGGGTGGTTGGAATAAATGGAGAGTAAACCTGCTGGTTCTTAATCACAAAACCAATGTACTTGCTTCTCCCTGCACTGATGTGAGTGTCTTGGTGAGGAGGGTTACTGAGAGTCCTTGCTTCGTGGAAACTAAAGTAGCTGCTGGAAAATTTCCATAGCTCTATTAATAGCTAACGAAAACTACAAAGCCTTTAGAATTGATTATATTTTTTTCTAGAGAGATCAAAACGTTTTAAGCACAAATGTTTAGGAGCTGCTTGAGATAGATTTTTTTTTGGTGAAGAGAAAAAAGAACTTCTGCTGCCAGGAAAAGAAAAAAAAACAACAACCCAAAACAGAGAGAGAAAAATGACCCATCCAGACCTAAATAAAGTGTGTCTTTACATTGTAAATGTTGCCACATTTAAAACAAGCTAAAAAGCTGCTTGACATTAAGCAGTATGGTCTCATTTTCTGTTTATATGTGTCAAAATGATGTATAGATCTCTTAAGATGTCAAGCGCTCCATATTGTAATTTCTAAGTTACCTTTTGAAATATGAAACATGATTTCCTAGTTGCAGTATGACTGTTCAGGCAATAAGCCTGAATTTCTTTGGTATTAGTAACATAGGAGATTGTGCTGCTGTTGTAGTGAGTGCCCTTGGAAATCAGCTGAGCACCAGCAAGTTGTCAAGTGGCTGCATGCCTTGAGAAGCAGTTGTGTTTTGGACTACACCTGTATGATCCTGCCTGATGTCAAATACCCTTGGTCATCCATGGACCTGCAGGAGGTCCCTGCAGGACTGGGCCATTGCATGAAACTCAGTTTTGAGCATTCATTCCCTTTCTTTATGATGATTAAGGTTTGTATGAATTCAGGTGTTTGGGTACATGGATGGCCATTCTGCTCTGCACTGGCATCCAAGGCTGTTCCTGCCTCCCTTGGTATGCGTATTATGGAGACTCCACTGGTGGGCAAGGGATAAGACCTTAGTTTAGATAAAAACCTGAGTGAAAATGTAGCAGCATAGATAACCCCCTGAGCAGTGCAGGTCTGTTGGAGCCCATGAAGATTTGCTCAGGTCCCCAGGCTGTGCTGGAGCTGCAACTATCTGCATTGTTCAAGCAATCGAGATAAAGCTGGCCCTAATTGCTGTGTTTATTAGAATTATTATAAGCCAGTGCCAAGGTCTGTTCTTTAGCCTGAGGGCCAGCTGCTGCCGTTTGACCACATCCTTCCTGCTCCCTCTCAAAGAGGGTGGCTGCACGCACATAGCCTTGGGAATGACTCCTGGTCCCTGTGGACTCCTGCACCTGTGTGGGGATGGAATTGCCTGGGACGGCATGGGCCCTAGCACGCCAGCGACCCTTCTTCCAGTGCGATGGTATCGATGGTTGGGCCTGGCAGCATCCCTGGCTGTGTTTATTTTCCTGGGATAGGTGCAGCCAGCATGTCTCCACCGGCTTCAGGCATACCTCCCTGCCCAATAAAAACAGATCCTAAGAAGGGGATCTTCTCTTGCTGGGGGTCAAGAAGGAGTGAAGACACCCTGCTTCTAAAATTGGCCCAAGATGTGGCAAATGGGTCTTAAACAAGCAACCGTAGTTTTTATTCTCTTTGGGTAGATATTTGCAGAATTTTATTGTAGATTGTAGAACACCTGCTTGTGTTCTGTTAACTTGTATACTTACAGGTAAATGTTACAAGGAGCACTGTGGACAAATTGCATTTAACAGTTCATCTGGGCAGTTTCCTGTGCCCTAATTCCCTCCATAGCTAAAGTTCTTCTGTCCTTTAGGAGGAACTTTTCAGCAAAATACATGCAAAGCTTTTCAGCTAAAACTTTTCATGCAGTAGTTCTCTACCAGAAAGCTACTCAAAAGACTAGGGAATGATGAACTCAAGAACTATTTTGGTTGCATACTTCAAAGAGGAGCCTGATAACAGAGTGTTTAAAACTTGCTAATTAAAAGTACTTGTAAACAGCTGTAACATGCTGCTACTGTTTTAATTGGCATTCGCCACAGCTGCATCTGTACTATGCTGCCACTGGGATCCTGGTGTATTTACTCTAATCTCAGAATGTGTCACCTTCTGGGAGATTAGGAGATCAGAAAAGCATGAGGGCAACATATTTGTCAGGGTTGAAGGTCACTAATACGTGCAGAAAGCAGCCAAGAGGGGTGAGCCTTGCAGAGGGACAACTAGAACAAGCAAGCAACATTTTGCAAAAGTGATGAGCTTTTCCATTTGGATTCTCTCTCCTAAGGGCTTTTTCCTGCATTTCTGCATTTGTATTCTGCTGTCAGATGTCATCTTAAGGCATAAGGAAGGTCATTCAGAAGTATTCATTAGCTTGTTAACTTCAGGCCAAGTTGGTAAAA